TCATCCCTACACGAAACAGTGTCCATAAGAGGTGCTTACGCTCTCCATTCTTATTTACTTTCGTGATGGATGAGATGATTGGACGAACACTGGAGGGTCTTCAAAACGATGACGTTCAGATAGCTGCTGCCGAAAGCCTTGTCGAACTGGAATTTGCAGACGACATTGCTGTCGTCTTCGAAGAGGAAAAGAAGTTGCAGATGTTATTTGACGAACTGACCAGTATTATTCCGTCCTTTGGCGTATGTTTTTCACCCGCACAACGTTAGTTCATGCTCCTGGGCACGCCAGTTTCGATCCAGAGAAAGGTACTCGTAGTTGTGAACCGTTCTACCCATCTTGAAGGCTGTATAAATTGCTACTGTAGTGTGAAAGAATAAGTCAGTTCACGAATCTGCAGGGCTTTGTGCACTTTTCCTATTATGATACACCATGACGTCAAAGGGACCCATCTTTGAATCTGAACAAACGTATGTATCAGACTACAGTACGAACTTGTGTATGGCTGTAAGATTTGGCCTGTTTGATCAGCGGAACTGAGACTTCTTCAGGTCTTCGAAAACTGTTTTCTCAGAACCGTAGCTCATTTGGGTCGATGTCGCCGAATCCGTAACGAAGCAGTTAGAAAACGAGTGCTCTGTCGCGCAATGGGGACTTCCATTGAAGAGTGTGAGAGAGCAGGAGAAAGTGCGCTGGTTGGGTCGTGCCTAACCATCGTTTGCCGAAGAGAGTGCTGTTTTCCGTGCCATGTTCAGAGTGATGGAAACAAAAAGGTGGCCAACCTTTGGCCTGGTATAGGGGAATGAAAGAGACTACGAAAGGTCTAGGTTAGGTCAGGGTAACTCGCCTTCCAGGATGGAGAATGCATGATACCTATTGCGCCTAGGTAGAGATTTTGTAGAATATGGCTGCCAACCGATGTCGATGGCGTCAATTCAGATTGTCTGGGTGAGTATCTAGCGGTGTGGGCACCTCGAAATGATTGTTTTGCATTAGCAACAAGTCCCTCTTCCGTCTACTCTTACTCTTTTTCCGCCATAAGGCTTTCGAACAAATCAAGGTTTTATGGCAACGAAATGTCATGGTAGCACTGATATTATGCTGTCCATGATGATATTGATAATGTAACCGGAACATTCCAGCACTACTACGAACTACTGTTATACGACTGCAAATTTTTGATATACTAAAACGTTTGAGTGATGGTTTTCTGTTTTGCCGTACAGTTCTTTCAAAAGTTGATCATTAGACCATTTACCACCTGAAGTTCAACTGTGTATACTTCCGCTTCGCATTTCGATCTTTACCTCAAGTCTTCCTGTATTTTTCAAGCTTGTATGCACCTCAGTGCTCAGTCAGTACCGCAATGAACGAACTCCCGGTTTAGTTTTAGACTACTTATGAACAAAGCAACTCCAACTTCAGTGTGCAGCCAACAGTCCAATTTCAAAGTGCAAGCATGTCCATGAATAGTTATAAAGGAGACATTGGTTAGGGCGAGTGAGTAGCGTGAAAAGAGCTTGATGTTAAATTTGCCTGCCGCTGTGATCATTTTATGAACGTCGCAGGGGCTGACCAACAGTGCCTCTTCCTTAGTAATTCTCACTTTAAGAGTAAAGAGTTTAGCTGTGTAGCACGAGAGACATTTGGGCAACTCAACGATTATCCATATTCATTTTGCTATCGTACAGAGCAGAGCCAGTTGTGCAGATACTGAAAACTGGTGATGACAGTATTAGTCATAAGAAATGGCTTCGTTGCTTCTTGGTAAGAAGCACTTGATGTCAACCGATCCGTTCGTAGAAAACAGGCACAGGAAGTGCTATAGCACTGCTTGAGTCTTCTATCCGAAGAACACAAACAGTTTTACGGCCACATCGGTTCATCACCACTCTCTTTAGCTTAGTTGACGCTGCACTGAATGAATCATCCAGGTGCGTTTGTGTGCTGCATTCTAATCTTGTGTTGTATGTTCCGCTCGTTTCTGAAGACGATAGGTTTATCAACACAACAACCTACAACCAGTCAATAGTAATGTTCTGATTTTATGAGAGTCAGTTTGACCTCTGATCACATTCGTCGCTCCTAAATTCCGGAAATTCACGAGCACTTCGACTTTAATATCTACTATCGAGGGTCGCTATTGCAAGCTTATGGGATTCAGATTTAATCAGAGACAAAGAAGGTTAACGTATTAGGGTAAGGCATTTTTAAAGTATTCATACAGTTAATTGCATACAGTTCACCAATTTTCGGACAGATTGTGCGTTCTACACTACTCTTTTGTGCTTTTTTGTGAATTCAACGGGACCTTTATGCATATCTATGGTTAACATAGTGAAAAGCATTCACTAGTTTTGGCTACCAAAAGTAGGATGGAAAGCGGACTATTGTCTCTTCGTTGCGTCGACTTTATATCATTGCATACACTTTGAGGGCTTTCTTGTTCCAACTGGTACAATAGTAAAGTCCCACTTATCAGTCACTTAAGCTTGTTACGTGGGCCTTGTATTTGATAAAGGCGAAGTTGGCCAAAGTTCCATTCATACGGTCCGGCAATTTTTGCGTAGAATTCGAATCGGGATAATCGACGGCTGTGGGCCATCGTCTGAATCCCTCGTCTATGCTGAGCTTTATCTCACCCGGTCCGATTTAGGTCTCTACGTTAGGCGGCACCTAAGAGGGACAAGTCAAAGCTGGACTCAGTCTAATTTAAAGTTCACGGTGGACTGATATCTATTTCTGCATTTGTGTATCATCTCGAGCTGGCTCCATGCACAGTATGTAAGGCCACATGTTTTCATTGAGCCTTGTATTCGGTGTAAAACTGAGGGAATAAATCTGGAGTGTAAACAGTATGAAGATAGTTCTCAAGTCATCAGCATGTACAACTGATGGTCCACGGTTGTGAATTCATGTGCAGAAAAGTGAAAAGTTGTAACCCATTGTGTTCACGGAGAGTGGCCTAGTGGCAGCATCACGCATATGACGCTCCCAAAGCAAACGTATGGCTAGCTAGTGCAAGCAGTAGTTAAGTTACTCCGTAAAACAAAAAGGCCAATTCTTGTACCGTTTAGCGCACCGTAATACCCAGAGCTTTAAGGCAAATCTTTTGCCAATACAGCATAACAGCTTAAGCCTACGTCGAACTCAGGTTACAACGATGGGCTTCTAAATTTAGCCACGATTTGACCTAACCTGGCGAATTTCATGAAGGCTGACATGCGGACCGTGTCAGTTTACCGTTCAAGTGGTACTTTCCCTGTCCGGCTCATTCTCATATGAAATTCGGATTGACGCTAGAGTACGCAATTGCTGTGAGTCGGGATCAGTCATTGTTTCTTTTGGCATCGTCAGCAAGTCCAGCTGGATCTGTTAACCCAATGGTAGCCGGAAAATATCAAAGTTTGGTCGGTTTTGGTCAGCTTGTGACTCGAATCTAACTGTCATTGCTGTTGTTCGGAGAAAGATATCATTTTCAATTAGTGTGGAATAGTTAGTGAAACTTAAAACGGCTCCACAATCTTGTTCTTTGGATTTGCATCTTATGCAAAGTTCAGACAAGCTTACCCTGTCAAAAGACCTCACTTTGAAGAAAGCTGTTACCTTGGAGAAGGTCGCACCTCTGAATCCTCTGGAGAATCCGGTCATTAGTGAGTAGACGGGGTTTATTCATAGCCTTTTGCGATGTTTGTAATCTAGACGCTGAAGGTTAATGTGTTAGGTGAGATATTTTTTTATGTAACTTCGATACACATCTTAAAAAGTTGGTATCCAGCTAAACATCCGAAACTCAATTGCTCTCTGATGCGTGACAAGGGGTTGTTGCAATTACCCTGCCGAAATAAGCATAAAAGTTGCTCAGAGATACCCTCTAAAGCAGCAGAAAATTTTTCACACTATCTACATTCGAATTTATGAAGTTCCAAAACGTATCCATTCATCGAGACTGTGGGCCTTCAAAATGGTGGTTTTTCAGCATCTCAAGACGGGTCGGTCACAAAATTCACAACAGTTGATCTAATTTAAGTGTGAATTAAAGGAAT